AATATTTTTTCTCTCGTTCTGTTTTTACTCTCGTATTTTGCTTTTTTCCCCTTTGTTTACCTTTTCCCAGCGGTATGGAAAATTTGTACGTTGTTCGCATTTTCCATCCGTGAAGGAAAATTTTCTTCAATTAAATCAGTTTGGTCCAAAAATATTGGGGGGGGGGGGGTGGATCTGCCACTGTTGATTTTATTTTACTGCCGTGATGTTACATTTTGTACCTTGATATCATTAAGTGTACACCGTGATGGAACATTGTCTACCTTGATAATGATTTCTCTGCCATGATGTACATACCGGTATATCTTTTGTTTCGAGATTGTCTACCTCGCGTATGAAAATAAAAGTACTGACCGCTAGCGCAGGAGTGTGGGGTTAGGGAAAAGGGAAACTAGGCTCGCTTGTTCTCGTGCTCCGCGCTCACTACTGCTCGGTGTGCTCGTCGATTTTTAAAAAGACAAAAGAAAAAAAAAGTCTGTGTACAGACTACGAGGTTCCTTTTTCTAAAAACCTTCAAAAAGTTCCTTTTTTAAAAAATCGCGTTTCCTGTGAGCAGAAAGAAAAATAAAACACAAAATTTATGGAAGAGAAATTGGAAAATTGGAAATTTATTTTAGCATTTTACATGGCTCAGGTCGCTCAGAAACAGAAGAATCTACTCCAGAGGCCAAAGAGGCTTCGTTTCGCATTGAGTGCTGTTCGTTTTGGCTGGAGTGTGAATAAAAAAATCTTGTAACGTGTTTGAATCAGGTAATTGTATCCAACTCTCCACTTTCCGACAAAAATCCTCAACTGATTCGCGGAAAACATGCTTCTCGAAACTCTCGCTCATGTTTTTTCCAATTTTTTTCAATTTGCAATGTTTAATTTTGGGGATCACGGATTTAACATTACATCCCTGAGCCCCACTAAACACCGAAAATTTTGTAACGCAGGATTATTAATTGTCATATCCTGCACGCATATTATGTGGCTGTTTTTTGCTATTCACACCCTTACAGGAACGTGGTTTTGTCTTAATCATTAGGTATAAACTAAGTTAGTTCCTCAGCTCTATCTTGTTATACTCCCTGATGTAGTCTGCGTGATCAGAAGAAACCGGTCGGAGAAATAACTCGAGTTTACAGAATACTCGAGTTGCTTTGTGCTTCTCACCAAGTCCATTATAAAAAAGAAAGGAGAAATTAAAAAAAATTAAAAACTTGAAAGGAAAGGCGTTAAATGCATTGCACATTTCCGGATAAAATCGTAGATACTCACGTTGCTCCACGGCAACTGGCTAAAATGAAATGTCACAACACAATGTTCGATCACGGCAGTAATATAATATCAAGGTGGCAAATGTGCTATCACGGTAGTAAAATGATATCAAGGTAGAAAAAAGTCAAATTACGGTTGGTAGTAAAATGATGTTAAGGTAGAAAATGTCACATCACGGCCGGTAGTAGCCTTCGAAAACATCCGTTTGGCGAAGAGCGAGGAGAAACGGATGTTGAAGGAAATGCTCCATCACGGTAGCAAAATGATATCAAGGAAGAAAATGTTGCATCACGCTAGCAAAATGATATCAAGGTAGAAAATGCTCCATCATGGTAGCAAAATGATATCAAGGAAGAAAATGTTCCATCACGGTAGCAAAATGATATCAAGGAAGAAAATATTCCATCACGCTAGCAAAATGATATCAAGGTAGAAAATGCTCCATCATGGTAGCACATGATATCAAGGAAGAAAATGTTCCATCACGGTAGCAAAATGATGTCAAGGAAGAAAATGCTCCATCACGGTAGCAAAATGATATCAAGGTAGAAAATGCTCCATCACGGTAGCAAAAAGATATCAAGGAAGAAAATGTTCCATCACGGTAGCACATGATATCAAGGAAGAAAATGTTGCATCACGGTAGCAAAATGATATCAAGGAAGAAAATGTTCCATCACGGTAGCAAATGATATCAAGGTAGAAAATGCTCCATCACGGTAGCAAAAAGATATCAAGGAAGAAAATGTTCCATCACGGTAGCAAAAAGATATCCATTAAGAAAATGTTCCATCACGCTAGCAAAAAGATATCCATTAAGAAACTGCTCCATCACGGTAGTAAAATGATATCAAGGAAGAAAATGTTCCATCACGGTAGCAAAAAGATATCCATTAAGAAAATGTTCCATCACGATAGTAAAAAGATATCCGTTAAGAAACTGCTCCATCACGGTAGTAAAATGATATCAAGGAAGAAAATGTTCCATTACGGTAGCAAAATGATATCAAGAAAGAAAATGCTCCATCACGGTAGCAAAATGATATCCAGTTGAAAAATAACTTATATCACAGCTCATTTCATAGGACACGTCAGACGTCACTTTAAACATAACGTCAACAAATGATTTTGAAACAAACGGCGCGCTATAGCTTTTGCATTACTGTAATACTTTGTTATAGTCATGCAATGTTTATCTTGCCTTCATTGCGTTTGTTTGCTTCTTAGTAAGAACGAAATGTTCCTACTCCAGGGGCACCCAACGAGAATATAGTTCAAAACCACTTAAACATAGTATTGTTAAACGTATTTTAGTATTTAAACGGTAGAAATGGTCATATTTTTTTCTCCTAAAAATTTTTCATCTGTTCGGATTTCCTAGCTGAAAGTTTAGTGATCCGAAAATTATAGGGATCAAAACTTACCTTTTCGAAAATTCCAGCCAGAAAAAAGGCTCTCGAAAATTCTAGGCGACCTTCTTAGGGTAAAAATCCGTTAAAAATGGGCAATTATACCATTTTTTTTAGATGTTCGAAAATCCTAGGAGAGGCAGGCAAGCAAGAAACTTTACACAAAATGTTCCGAAAATTCTAGATCTCAAATCTTCTTCCGAACAGATATTTTTCGAAAATTCTCGTTGGGTACCCCTGCTACTCTTTGGTTTTAGACTTTGCGTGCGGAACCTTCCTCTCAATGTTAACGATAAACGGCTTAAAGAAATTTTCAGCACCGTGGCAGGACGAAATGCATTTGAGAAGAAGGTCCTGATAATTTGCAGCAAAGATCGCGTGGACAGTTCGGGCCGCGGACGTTCTATGGGATATGGTTTCGTGGAGTTTACCAGTCACAACGACGCTTTGGCAGCCTTGCGCGCAAGCAATAAAAATCCAGATATATTTGGCGCCGATCGCTACCCGATTGTTGAGTTTTCATTGGAGAATAGCCTCGTTGTGAAAGTGAAACAGCGGCGGTTAGACAAAGCTCGACAAAGACAGCAGCCAGATAGTGAACAGCCCAAGACAAATAAAGAGAAGAGACTGGAAAAGAGTCAGAAACGGAGAGAAAAAAGGCAGCGAACAAGGAAAGAAAATTAGAAGAGGGAAAGGAAGGCAAAGAAGAGAAACCTGACACTGGAAGCAAGAAGGGCAAAGCTCCAAATAGCGATGTAAAGTTCCAAAGAAAAAACAGTGAAAATTCATGGAAAACGAAAAAAGGAAAGAGGCCCTTTTCAGCGGAACTACCAGCTCCGCGAAATCTGGGTAAAACTGATCGTCAAAAACAAAGAAAATTTCCACCCATTTCTTCAAACGTGAATAAATCCTATAATGAGCCTGCGGTAGCGAAAGCCAATTTACCAGCGGCTTTTAAGGATAACAAAAAGAAGAAACCTCTGAAAGGAGGGGGGAATATTGGTAAAACTTTTCACGAAAGAGCTGATTCATTTACTCACACCAACGCCAAGAACGAAGTGACGAATAGAAAGAGGAAAGGAGCTAGGCGGAAAGAGCAGGAGAAAAAAGACGAATCCAACTTCACCGACATGGTGAACAAATATAAGAACAAGTTGTTTGGAAGGGATGAAGGCGAAGTTCCTGCTAAACG